CAAACATAGAATCCTGCTCAAATCTAGAACTACTTCAATCCATTTCCAGTGGTACAAATCCTGGTGAAACTCCAGTTCGGGGGGGGGGGGGGCACTCCATTGCTATCTTATCCGTAGTACTAGAGAGCACTCTTTGGGCTATCGAACACTACGGATAAGATAATAAGTGAACGACTCATTTCGAGCGTACTTTTGATAAGGACCGGTGGATGTCCTACATTCCACACACCTGCCCACATCCCTATCCACTTTTCTGCACAGGATCCACCCTGGAGCTCCTGCACCCTTAGCCCTAGGCAGAGGTGTCCATTCTCCTGGTCCAGGACCGTTCCCTTGGACCATGGCAGGCGGAAATGTGAAACATCTCAGGGTTTCTTCCCACACTTATCGAAATATGGTATAAAAAATGAGTCTACTACGTGTCATGAGCGCTATCATCCTTATCTTGAGTATTGGAGAATAACGAAGTTTCCCTCCCCCCGAACTGGAGTTTCACCCAAATCGTTCAACAAAGACAGGAAGCAACCGTTCCAGTACTCGGTGGCAACTATATACCTCCTTTTTACCTTCCTATTTTACTTTCCTTTCCAGTTCTTTCTACGGATCTAACAAAAGACGAGTGCGTGGCGAGAGCCTTTGTTCTCCATTCTTTAAATTAATAACCCAAAAATGCCCAACTGTGCGATGTGGGATAAGGCATAAACTCATTCGCTGCATAAGCTGACTAGGGAAAAAGAAGGAGAATAGTCGGGAAGTATATTTCGAGGAAAGCGAATGGAAGGAAAGGGAATCTGAACTTGAACACTTCATCCGTTCTATTGCTCTATTTGAATTCAATCTTCTCTTCAATCATTTCACCAGTCATATCGCATCAAGCAAAACCAAAAAGATTTATTTTCAATTTGAGGGCAATTCGTCTGAGTTTTGATCATTCTTCTCAATTTCCCTCTTTTTTCTCTCTCAAGTAATTGCTATGCTAACACATTTATGCGGCATGGATGTTGTGAAGACATACATGCTAATGGGATGATTGACTCTTGTACTCCCGGATATGACTGATTCTCGGTAGCACGTTACGCACCAGAGCGAATCAGGGTTCCGGGCTGCGGCGGAGATTTATCAGAATCTTGTTACACAATACGAGGATAATCAATATGGCAACTTAGGGTATTCGTTCACTCAATTATCCGCAGCGCCTAAGAGGCAGTGGCTCGATATCCCCGTCGCTAGCGCGTCGGGCCAGGGCTCAGCGATATCTGCTTGTGAACCACTTTATCAGTTACCAGAAAAGGACACGAATGTTGAACAGGTACTAGTTGTGCAGAACGCGTGATAATCAGGACGGAAAGTCACAGGTATCATGGTGTAATGTTAGCGCGGTATCCGAGTAGATAGCTGCGGGCTGGGATTCACTAAGGGCTTTACTTTAACCAGCTCTTTTCTAAATTTGCGATACGTTTTGTTATATTGCTTATACAGTAATCATAGAGTATGGACAGTGGGTCAGGGAGTAGCTAACAGAGGTGGTGCGCAGAAGCGTCATGCGAGTTCCGAGCCGTCTGAGGTCCTTTTCCTATCATTTTATGGCGTTTGACAACGGGTGAAATCATCACGATGCGATCCGGAAACAGAAAATATGGATACTATCGAATTTAGCTTTGAAAATAATCCTTTCTTTTCAGCTCGGCAGGCAGCACGGCACCTCCTTCGCCTCGATTTCCAACGAAGCAGTGATGACACGACTCAGTTGGACTCGCAGTCATCCCAGGATCAATCTCCTCCTCCGCCATTACTTTCGATTCCCTCGCTATTGTCTCCCTACCCGGACTCGGCTTCTCCTGTCGTCGGATGAATCGAATTGCTGTTCGATATCATCCGGTCCTTCAGAATCCGAATTCGAGCCACCGACACCGGCCGAAAGCGTGAAGACGGCGAGGTCACGAAGCCACGATCCGGCCAATGCAGCGTCAGTCCTGCGACGTCCAAGCCGAATCGAACACTTGTCCGAGCTGTTCAGGTGGCAGAACGAATCTCTTCAAATTTTTCTTTTGAGCATAAGTTTAACTTTTAAAGTTCGATGTGTACTGAGAAAACGTTGTAGTGACTTCACTTGTGAAATGTAGATTTTTAATATTCTTCGAAAATCACCTAGAGTTTTCTTTTCACTTTTGATTCACATTTTTTTGTGATTTTATTTTTATTTCCATTTGTACGCTGGTACTCTGACCCTCATTCAATCCCTCTCCAGGAAGGCGTTGGCAAAATCACCCGTAGTGAGGAGAACTGCCGTGGAAGCAGGAGCGAATGGTGAACAAGCATCGGACTAGTCGGTACTGGCTTGACGAGCAGGTTCGTTGAATATACTCCGGCATTTCACCTGCGGTTATATGGTTTCGAAGGGTTTGTTCTTCATTTTTGACACCTCGATAATGGCTTGGTATGTGATAGTCACAATTTGTGCATCACATGGGACACTGTGACCCATGTATGAATCACACCCCGTGCTCCATTTTATTACTATATTCTTCAGGTTTCTTACATTTATTCTATTTTGTCCACATGTATGACGTGGTTGCACTACTCAGCACATTTGTTTTAATACCTGATCATTATCAAATTAGCGTAACCACTGCCTTTAAGTTCGGAATCGTCAATTTGAAAGCACACTGTTCACTTCGGTCTGCGAGATTGGTCGGTATCGAGACATTATTTTTACATGAATGTGTTCCTGGCCCACACAGGATTTGATCACTCCGATTAAGCGAAGCAGACCGCTTCAGCCGCTGCGTAACGCGCCGTGAATTTTTCATGTCCCCTAATTTTCATCTCCCGCTCTCTCTGGTAATGCACATCTCTCTAGGGATATTACTGACACATGTAAAATGAATGAACAATAAATCTCGCTTGCAAATTTCAAATGCACTTTCTCTGGTAGGTTTTTTTTGTTGATCCTTTAACGTTAAAGGGCGAGCTCGGTGCGCTTTTTGTAATGCGACTGCTGAACTATAATCCATAGAAAGTGCTGCCCTTTATTTTCTGTTGAAGACAGCTGTTTGTAACGAGTTTTTGCTCTGTTATGTCTGATACGATAAGGTGCGTTAACGTAGCGCTCATTACTCCTTACGTCACCTTTTGAAACCTCCGGAGGGTAATAACTTAAGCCTATGATTGTGCCTGGTCTAGGATGCTTCGAGCAATTGATTGAGGTCTCAATCTTAGGTGACGTGACCTGAGGATGGAAACTGCAGCTTACCCTTACTTCCCACTGTTCTCATCTAGGCAACTATGTGGGCGGTTTGCCATCAGCCCACATATGTATGTATTGGATTAACCGAAGTCAAAGTTATAAGCCTCTGTTACCCATCCCACTAAGTCGGGCTTCAGTAAACCAAACACACGGCAATGCGGCGGTATTAGAGCCCCCAAGCGAGAACCAATAATCAGTCATACTCTCTATTTGGGCCACATTTTATAAGTGCAAATGTCAGGCGCCTCAATAGCCGGGTATTTAATGGCATTGAAACTGAGTATATAGAGATGCGAAGTGGAACGACAGTGGAGAAAAAAAACTGAGAAAAACCGTCGACAAGGCCGTTAACAAAACCCTCTTTCCCACTAGCAGTGAAGGAGGCTGGCTTGGGAAAGAGGCACGTACAAACAAGTTTTCTGGAGATGTCAGTCGTTCTATCGGTTGATACGGCAATCAACCTAGCTGATTTCACACGTTATGCCAGCCACGCACCACTTCCGGAGGTGGGCGGTCCTGGATTGACCAGGCGGCCCTGGATTGAAACCGAACGCCCCGGGGCCTTAACGGGGTTTTTCAAGGTGGGAAAGTTGCTGCAATGTGTGCAGCTACCCACATACAACCTCCAGGCACGGGAATTACTTCTCTAGCGTGCCTGAGCCCGACCTTTGCCTTTAATTGAGAAGTCATGAATGGGATTTTCACACTGCTCTTGTATTCATTTTGATAGAGGGAATAGGACGTTTGAATGGCGTGACTTTGACTTTCTCGTACCACTACCTAACTGATGGTATTCAGCAGGGAGCGTTACTAGCTTTGATGATAGATCTCTGAAACTCTGCCCCTCTAGACGATTCCTCCTACTCTTGTGAACCGGAGTACTCGCAGTTTTGAAAATCCATCCCGGCCGAGTATTGCTGCACACAGCCTCTGAGATCTGAATGTCGCGCTCGATGAAAAACTCAGAAATTTGGAATTTCGGTCTCCAAGAAATCCATTTGGCGTGCAATTCAGAAAAAGTCGCTGCAATGAGATTAGTGCCATTGCAAAACGTAATGAGATGTCTGCATACTTGGGACGGATATTTTTAGCCTGCTAGGCTATTTTCAGCCTGGAAATGTGGTTTTCATGGATGACTGATGAGCAGCTAGTATCTCAAGGAAATGAGTTGACGAGTGTGACGTAGGCTGGAAATTCGGGTTCGCAACACTGCAAGATTAGCGGAGGAGGTATAAAGTGGGGCTTTGGTGGGATAGAAGCCATGTTCGTCTCACTATTCCAATGAGTGTCTGTAATTTGTTTTATGAAAAATGTCGTGGTTCAGATTTCATCAGCTGAAGCAAATCTGCGCTTCCATCCTCCGGGCCTGGACTCGCTCCACTGTCAGCTGGATTCTGACAGTGTTTTACATTGGAGATAAGGTATTGTTTGCGGGTTCTATTTGGATCACAGAATTAGGTCAATTATCCTTACAAGGACACTGTTCGCAAAATGGGCGAGGAGAAAACGTCGATGTGGGTATGCAGGTGTGAGTGCACACACTGCGAATGCTTTCTCTTTTTGGTAGTTGAGCGCAACTAAAACTGTTTTTTTTCCAGAAATCCACTGCGAAGATAATAGTAGTGTTGATGTATTAGTAATGTTAGTCCTGTTCGGAGGTCGTGATTTGGAAGCGTCACTGTATACCAATCTCGAAGAACGTAGTAGACAGGCGGACAAATGTTGATGTCGCGTCCCTTCTACGGCTTAAAAGTGCGCGTGACATAGGCGCTATAAGCCCGCTCGGCCCGCAATCCACACCCTCGTTTGCAAACCCCGCCTTCCCGCTGTCGCCTGCCACGTGACGCTGCGAGGAAAGGGCGGGCGCAGTTGCGGCAGCGGTCGCATTGCGGTTCAATGTCATTAGCACTGCGCATCAGTTGGCACCTACAGCTTGTAAACTGATCCAACACGCTCCATTCCCTATCGCAGGGAGGTGCGGACTTGAATAGAAGAAGGTCCTTTTTCAGGGACGTCGATCTGAGGGATTTCCTCTCGCCGGGTTCATTTATCGTTGCCAGGGACCTTCCTTCACATTCAGCTTCATAAACCGGAATGCTCCTACAATCCATTTTTTTAGACTGCTCATTTTGTTGTGCGATCTCTTAACGAGTCTATCCACAAATGATAGTGGCAAGAATTGTGCGCGAGAATTTTGATTCCAGATATGGCATTTCAGTTAACCTGAACTGCAGATCCACATTCACAGAAACAACTGTGAAGAAACGTCGCTCAAGGAGTCGATCGACAGTCTCAGTATGCATCATTGGGTGCATAAGGTGAGTGTAGGCAGTCTTTGCTTTTTCATGACTTTCTACAAAAATATGTTTTTAGTCGTTTTTCAAAAACTATTTGTCACAGTACCTTCACACCAACATTTCACATTAGCACTTTCGGCCTTGACTTATTTTCATTGGGGATTTTTTTTCTTCCTATTGTGGCGGGGCGGGACAAAAAGGGAGGGTCAATGGCCGGTGACGAAGCGAATTTCTTGCAAGGATATTGTTGTCTGAAGCGACCTTAGAATGAGTGGTACAATAGAACTATGTATATTATGCTTTTCGCGCAGCGGTGCAGAGCTCATGAGTTCGTTGTCGGCGATTGAACGCACGAGAGGAGACCGTTAAGGTGCAACTTCTCGAGAAATGGCGCATATTTACTTGATGTTATCAGTAGCGTCAAGCAAAAGCAAGACTTGCCGGAATTGATGTTCTGTTTCGAAACTTGGGTGAACCCTTGTTTTCATTGAATTTCATAAACACGAATCATGATGATTTTTTATTTGTTTATTTTTTTTATTTACATTATATTTATAATTTTTATTTTTTTATATTATTTTATTTTCTCAAAACTAAGGTTTGAAATTAGAAAAAGCAATTGTAAAAGATTCATGTCGCAAGATGAAGGAGCCGTTTTCAGAGCCGGGCGTAAATGCACCATAGGGGTGTGCCTTTCTGCGCTCTGATTTACTGAAAAAAATTAAAAAAAGGCTGTATCTCTGAGTAGTGGGTAGTGAGATGGCGGTTACAATACAGCATGGAACGGAAACTCTGCCTATTAATTACCGAATTTTTTCAAAAAAATCCTAGAATTGTGTTTTTTTTTTCAGTGGCGTCATGAGGGTCGGTGCAGTCGATGCGGCAAATCATTCCAGCAGAAAATGTTCAATTTTCAACAAAAGGAAAAGGTAGAGATCATTTCGTATTTCGAAATTATCGATGTTCTTGCGGTGCTCTTACACACAAAGACTGTTGCTTACGATCTCGCTCTTCTACATTCGCTCTCTGCACCTGTTTCCTTCGTTTCGACATCAGTTTTTGGCAAAAACCTACTCGTACGAGTTAGGTGGTCTTTATGGTAATAAGGTGTCCATTACAAGCCCCAGGTACCACTTTGCGACGTCATGCAAGTCTCACTCAAAAATGCAAAACTTTGTCACCACGGGAATCGAACCATGAACCAATCATTCATCACTTTTGGCGTTTAGAGGGCCATTTAGGAAAGAACAGTTCCGTGCTCCATGCACGTGTACATTTGAAAGAGAGGGGCATGACAAGGAAGATCTTCCTGGTAAGTTCAGACAGTAACCACCCTTCTGCAACTGGATTGTGATGAATATGCGGAACCGCGCCCATGGACGCGCTGAGACATTGAAAATCACATAGGCTACCCACTACAGTCCCAGAAAATAATAAAATGCAGAAAAATGTTCCTCACATTCTAAAGAAATTTACTATTTAGGAGACGATGGCCGTTGCCTGTTCTTGGTGCAAGGAATCGTACCACTTGAAGCATTGCTTTAACCGCGAAAAACTTGAAGAAAGGTTCGTTTCAGAAAATTTCAATAGATTTCAGAGACTTTTTTCAAAGAAGAAGCTATTTAGACTAGCAATAAAAGACCCTCTTTTATTCAACATGTATTTTGCCTCAAAATCTATGTATGTGATAGGACAGTTACCGGCTAGTTTAAGGTGCCATCGTGGGCAATTACGGGAATTGGTGGTGCCGCCGAATTGGATTCTTCGCCTACCTAACCGTCATCGGACCAAACACAAACAGGTCCCGGCAAACAGGCAGAGCAGGAAAGTGAGTTATCCATTTCGGATTCCTTTTTTTGCCCGTAAAACAAATACATACGTTATAATGCAGTGTACAGGAATTGGTAATGGAAGCTTTCCACTGAAAATTAGTCGAATTCGCTTGAAGGCATATTCGGCTGTAGGGTAGGTAGTGCTCATTGCGACGCGGTTGTGGTAATTTATTCCCCGGTGACATAAGGAGCAAAAAATTATTAAGAATTTTCAAAATTACATGGCACGCTAATCATGCGGGCGGAACTCGCTCCCCAGACCAGGGTCTGTCCTATCGTTGTTACTTTTCGAAAAATTTTTACGACCCCCCTCCCCCAAGGTGGATTTGATACGACCCCCTTTTCCCTACCTCCACCATCTCCATCTTCCATCAAAACCCCGCCCACTTTTTCCTCCAAAAATGCCGTCGAGCGGGGGGGTATAGTCACTCTGAAACGGTAAAATACGAGGGTTACGACCCCCGCCTCCTACAAACTCAACCAGGTACGACCCCCCGCTGTTACTCGTAACAATGTAGGGTTGACCCTGCCCCGGACCATAAGATGATATCTCCGTCCGTATTAGTTTTTCGGTGTATAGTTTGATTAAGCATGAACTTGGCAGATGGGTGCCGGAAGGGGTAACGTGATGTCGCGATATCTCAGCGAGAGGGAGTGTATGTGAGATTATTGGGTGCAGGAGGTACATGTTTGAAGGTGATGAAGGTCCTAAAGTTGGAAAGGGGTCGTGTTGGGTTGGGGACTCACGTAAAGACTTGTGGTGGTGAGGGCCGTTTCTTATTTAGGCGGGGGGGGAAGGGGGGGGTTGGGGGCAAATCTCGGACGGCGAAACGGGGTTGTGACCTGGGTTTAATTATCGGAGACCTGATTTTTCCAGCCCAGCCACGTATTCTTGAGAGATTACGAGTAAAAAAAGCTATCTGAGTCGATCGAAGTTTACTAGTGAGGTTTCTGAAGGCCATGATGAGGTCACTGAGCTACCAGACAAGCAAGGTGTATAGATTATATCAGCCCGACACCAGAATTTGAACGTTACCGTACTAGAACGGTGGAAAGCTTCGCATCTTCATGCACTACAATGAATGCTGATTTGATCCTAAATTTCCTAATGAACTGTATCAATTTCCATTTTCAGCCCACACGTCAATTTGTTGTGAAGCCAAATGATTGGTCAGGAGGTCCGTCGCAGCCCTATTGTATTTGGTTCAATCAATCGGGAGGGCCAGGATCAGATCTATTTACGTGTTAATTACATGGCTATACAGGGGGGGGGGGCAATAAAAAAAAGACATTTTGTCTCCACTTTCAGATGGATTTAAGCACACTTTGCTCAATTGAGACCGAGTGTTCCCAACTTATTATTGAAGAGCACATTTCATTCTATAAGAAAATCTTCATAGTGGCCACCTACGTGGACGGCATCAGAAGATTTGCCCTGGAAACATGGTGCACTGGTCGAGCTCAATGGGGTCTTCGAAGGATCGTGTACCATAACGACCTTTACTGGAAAGCTCGTTCCGAGGGGATTTGCATAGTGGGAGCTAATGCCTCTAGAAAACTATCCAACATTAAATCGATTCACGAAATTGCGTAAGAGCTTCAGGCTGAAGCTCTTACGGTAGACCTCCTTGAGCCTGACGACGGTGACAGATGACGTCATATTCTGAAGACGGTGAGGGCAGTGAAGGAGGGCCTGCGTCACTTATAGAGGGACACTTAGGGAATACTCTGCTGAGGAACTCCCGTCAACGACAGCAATCTCTGCGAAGAAAAAGAGCCGAAGTCCGACATAGGCAAAATGTCTTTTTTTGGCCCCCCTGTATATTCCCACGATTGAAAGCTACTGTGAATACTTGCATAACAAGCGATTCTGATCCCAGTTTGTGTGGAAAAAGCAACCGGGTTTGCCGGGGTGGAAGCTGGAAGATTCATGGCTTCATGGAGCGTTTCTGATATCCTAGCTCTAACAGGAGCAAGGCATTCCGCTGGTCACTAATCCACTTAAAGAGAAAAAAGACTTCATAAATCAAACACAGCTGTATTGTGCTTAAATCTATCATGGAACGGCCCATGAATAATTGTTTTGTTTCTGTACTACGTACCATTTTTGAACTTCTATAATACTTATGAAATGTGTCGTATTCCACCTGTACGGGATGGGGGCGTAGAAAGACATTTTGTCTTCACATACAGTTGGGTTTAATCACACGTTGCTAAATTCAATCCCAATGCTCCCAAATCTAATCGAAGCACATTTCATTAAAAGTCATTTTAATGGTGGCCTCCTACGTAGACGAGATAGAAAAACCTACCCATTTAGGGTTCTAAAGCTCTGCACACTTTGTGCTGGCTGCTCAATCCACGACAAGTCTTTGATATCACTAGCCTCAAAGGACCAAAATTCGGGTAAGTCACCTTCCTTAGTGCGGTTTAATCAAAACTCACAAGATCACTTGATTTTTGGATATCCATTTCTTGATCTTTGCCATTTCTTACTCATTTTAGATTAGAAGTCTATCGAAAATTAGTCACGCAACTACGGATTCTTGTTTGTGGAGGTGATGGAACTGTGGGATGGGTACTACAAACGCTGGACAACGTGCGCTTCAAGTCAAATATATCCACTCATTTCTTAGGTTCTTTGAAAAAATGTGATTTCAGCTGAACTGGCCTGCCTATCCACCGATGGCGATCATGCCTCTTGGGACTGGCAACGATCTCTCTCGGTAGGGCTAACATCTTACCCTTTGTTCCCAGCGGCTGAGTGCGTGTGTAATGCAGACCACACAACACATGTGACGACGACCTCCAAGTAAATCTGATAACTAGTAGTTCATAGTGATAGCTGATTTTGGTAAATGATAGTTGTAATTAGTGACAACTGATAGAATACAACTGCAACAGGCTAATCATTTCATTGGCAGAAAACATTTACATTTTGTGGAGGCCGTCGTCACTTGTGGTGTGTGGTCTGCACTCGACGCGCACCTGATCGTTGGACATAAGATATATTTTTTGTGAATTACATATTACATACGTTTGACTTTATAGGTGCATGGGATGGGGCGGAACATTTTCGGACGAGCCGCTCAGTCAACTTCTACAGGCAATCTTTCACGAAACAACAGTGACACATCTTGATCGGTAGGTTCCTTTCGTTAGAGGTTTATTACTGATCAACTAGTGACTGGACCTTCCCCCAGTTTGTTAGACTCAAGACACTTCTCCCGGTCCCTGCGTCTTCTCGGGCTTGTGAGTGTTGGTAGAAACTCCACCCCTTCGAAACGCGCTCCGCCCATTGTTTGCCTCCACCTACTTCGTGGGTCTGACAAACTTAGTAACTAAAAAAGCCAGTACATAGAGTAACACGCGAGCATCACAGTCGTGCTACGGCTCAAATGTCGCAGCAATGGCGCTAGGGCCTTGCAAAGTGAGCTAATGACGGCCATTGTGAGCTTTACTTTGTTTCGTTTTTAATTTCAGTAAACTCGGCATCCACAGTTTCAATATTGACCTCTGTCATCCACCAATTTGATCTGGGGTTCCTGTTTTAAATTATCTACCGAGGTTATGTTAGGAGCAGAGTCAACCCTGCGTTGCGCAGTTTTCAACGGCCACGTTGCGCAGTTTCGCCCGATTAGACACGTTCTCTCGCGCGAACATTCACACTCGCATGCTCGAGCCGTCTGCGTCTCCGCCCATACAGCGTGCGTTGAGGATCTCTCAACGTGCCGTTGCGAACTGCGCAACGCAGGGTTGACTCTGCTTGGAAGCCAGCAGCAAAAAAGCTCGTTTGGAAGATAGAAAATAAACCCCCTAATATAAAAAAAATTTGTGCTTTTGGAACTTTTCTGAGTTCTAGCAATGTTTCCCTGGGAATCCTGAAATTTTTGTAACCCTTCAAAACCTTGACTATTGAAGAGTTAAGATATTCGGAAGAAAGAAAGGCTTCGAACTAATTTTCAGAGCTTCCTCTGGAGGGAAGAAATGAAACGCACGAAAAAGCGTTCCTGCGAACATCTTTGGAACACTTTTGACCGTTACTGTATAGTGCACGCGCCTATATTTATTTATTTATTTATGCTTGGCCGGAAATTCACTGATCCTCTCTCATTAGCCGCAAATTTTTCAAGGTGGTAGAATTTGAAGATGATAGAATGGAGTAACTTAATTCAGCACATTTGAGCTACATACATTCGTTGGAATATTTGGGTCTCATCCAGTGAGCAAGGGGGAGGGCATTGCCGTGCACAGTCCGCTCTAATGCCATCTTAACTCGAGGAATCTTTCAAGGTTGCGAACTGCTATGACTCTATCCCTGGTTATTTCTCAAGGTTTTTGTATGAGTGTGGGATCTTGTGCTTTATGACAGAAACGCCTATGAAAAGTGATACTAGCCTTGTGAGCAGGTAGGACTAAGCCTAGGAAATGACCTGGGGAGAACGAGGATTACTTGCCGACCCGGTGGTCTCCTCCTCCCTCCGAGACTTAATCCTGAACGTTTACAAGTAAAAGAATATTTTTTCCGTGGTTTTGATCGCGTTCGAGCGCACTGAACCGCCGTGACCTCCCTTACCGGGTAAGACTCAAATATGTTTTAATACATTGCGTACCGCGATTTCGCACGAATGGAGCATAGTTTATCTGATTTATTTGACATTTTTCAATGCTCTGAACTGTTTGCACTCATTTTCAGAGAGGGAAACCATACGTGTCATCACTGATAAAATTGTTGATAGATTAATGATGATACATTTTTGAAAAATATAAAAAAGCTACGAAGGTGCTCATACAACGGCGGTCCGCAATGTGTTAAATACGTTTGTTAAAAATGTCAAATTATGTTACAAAATGTACTCTCAGATGGCGAATTCACGTGTCACCCTAATGAGATTTGCGTGGTGGACACGTCCGATGAGCTCAGCGATGCCGTGCAGTCGTCACTGCCACTCACCGTCATGAACAATTATTTCTCTATTGGAGCTGATGCCCACGTCGCTTTACAATTCCACCACAGTCGAAGTAAGTAATAGAACTATAGTGATCTCAATTATTGCTTATTACCCTGTTATCAACAAATTAATTGACCAGGATTAACCCGAAGGACACGCGGTCAACGTGAGGGCATCATTTTAAGCTTATCTAACTTGAGACACTGACAATTACTCGGGTAAAAGTGTACACTTTTGCAGGCCTATAATTTTGCTTCAAGTTCTATCTCATAGCGCCCAGTAACCCTTTAAGACGGGGGACTCAACAGGCTTCCCAAGCACTGATACTACGTATGATCCTCGCTCAAATGCAAAGAAACCTAAGTATCCAACTCTTCAAATCCCCATAAATTGGTATAGACTCACGGGGACTAACAAGATATCCTGATTTATACATCGCTTTCTCACAATCAGTGGAAGTCATAATATTGGCAATGCGTATTCAAACATCGCCGCGACCTTACATGGAAGTCAAATGCGTGGCGCAACACAAGAAGGATTGACTACACCCAAACGCTTTTTCGTTTTTATCCCGATTGAGTGCATGATTCA